TATTTTTTATTTAAAGATACCAATTTTTACTTATTAAATAATGAGTTAAATTGTAAATAAAGATGTCAACTTTGTACCTTATCTATTTAAAGATATTGATTTTATGTGTTTTTAAATAAAAATATCAACTTTTAATTTTTTTTAAAAAAGAATGTCAACTTTCAACGATGTCAAATTTTAACTTTTTTTATTTAATAATTAATTGGGTGGTGATGTTTACCTGACTAACATATTTTTTTAAGATTAAATATCTAAATTGGTCCCTCAACTTTTATTTTTGAACTAATTCATCCTTGAACTTTAGAAAGTATTGAAATCGTCCTTCAACTTCAATTTTCAACACCAATTTCGTCTTTCCGTAAGTTAAGTACTGATATAGCTAATTTTTCCGCTGAGTGATTGACTATTTTATATTTTCAATATTGGGTGGAAAATCTATCATGTAAAAGATGATTATGTGGATTTTTTTTAATTTTAAATAATTTTAAAACTATTTTAATTCTTAATTTTACTTTATTTATATTTAAAAATTAAAACAATTAATATAATTTCCCATTTAATAAGTCCCACCTACCATAAGTAACTCTTAATTTATAAAGAAATAAATTAACTCTCATTTAATTTTATTAAATCAAATTTCACCTACTATAATTATTTCCTAATTGATTCTTCCATGATTAAATTTCATTTAATAAAATTAAATAAAAGTTAATTAATTCTTTCATGAATTAAGAAATAATTATAGTAGGTGAGATTTGATTTAATAAAATTAAATAAGAGTTAATTTATTTCTTTATAAATTGAGAGTTACTTATGGTAGGTGGGACTAATTAAATCGGAAAATATATTAATTGTTTTAATTTTTAAATATAAATAAAGTAAAATTAATAATTAAAGTAGTTTTTAAATTATTTAAAATTAAAAAAAAATCCACATAATCATCTTTTACATGATGGGTTTTCCACCTAACATTGAAAATGTAAAATAGTCAACCACTTAGCAGAAAAATTAGTTACATTAGCACTTAACTGACGGAAAAACGAAATTGATGTTGAAAATTGAAGTTGAAGGACATTTTCGATACTTTATGAAGTTCAAAGATGAATTGGTTCAAAAATAAAAGTTGAGAAACTAATTTAGGTATTTAACCTAAAAAAATATGTTAGCCAAGTCAGCATCATCACCCAATTAATTATTAAATAAAAAAGTTGAAAGTTGACATCCTTATTTAGAAAAAGTTGAAAGTTGACATTCTTATTTAGAAAAAATTGAAAGTTAATATCCTTAATTAAAAATTGATAAAATTAACATCTTTAAATAGAAAAAAATGCAAAGTTGACTTCTTTATTTGCACCTTTACTCATTAAATAACATTAACTTTCAAGATTCTAGTTAAAAAATCTATTTGTCATGTTAATATTATTATTCAATTAATTATTATATAGAAAAAATTAAAAATTAGTATTCTTAAATAAAAAAATTAAAAGTTTACATTTTTATTTAAAAACTAATGAAATTAATATCTTTAAATAAATAAATAAATAAAACAATGTTGGCATCCTCATTTACACTTTTTCTCACTTGTTGTGCTATTGATAAGTTAATTGATAATGAATTGCTAACATCATCTAAGGTCACATGTTAAATTTGGAGTCCAAATAAAAAATTTTATAGGTAAATTAGTTCTCTTTTTTGTTTAAAAGTAAATTTGTCTCTACCCTTTACTTTTAAGGGTGGATCTAAGTATTTTACTTTTTATATAATTTTTTTTAACTATTAAAGTCTCCTCATATCAATTTACACATAATTCAAAATTAATCTCTTATTAATCTCATCAAAAGTAAATTATTCACTTTGAAACTAAAAAATTTATTAGAAATTATTTTCTTAGTGGCCATATGAGGCAATCAAACTTTGATCAATAAAATAGAGTGTGAATTTTTTTACTAATTAAATCATAATTCTTTTGGTACTATTCTACTAAGTTTATAGTTATAAATTTTTTCATACAATTATAATATATTATTAAATAAATATATATAATATTATGATACAGTCTAAGTAACAACTAAATATATAATCATAAATTATGAATATGATTTTGGAATTCTAAATTATGAGAGCAATATTGTATTAAAAAAATTTCCTAGAAATCTAGAATAGTATAGCAAAAAAAAAAAGTGGCTTTTAGGTTAGAGCGCGAAAAGTACAATTTTAATAATTTTTTACAATTTTAATATTAAAATTATTAAAATGTTTTTAATAAAACTTTTTTTATATTTATTTATTAAAATAATTTAATAATTTTAGTGTTAAAATTACCCTTTTAATTTTTTACTATAAAAAAATCATAATATAATGAAGTAGTATGCGAAAAAAAAAAAAGGGCAAACCCGACTAAGAGCTAGTGTTTAGACAAACTAATCTCTCGGCCACTGCAATCTTCAGCTCAACGTTGCAGACGAAGATGGCGTCTCTTGCTTCTTCGATTCAAGAGCGTTTCCTTTCCCGTCTCGCCGCCACTCCTCACCGGACCCTTTTACCGCCAAAAGCTACGCATCTCTCTTTTCAATCTTCTATCCAAGGTCCGTTCAATCATTTCCGTGTTTCCTGTAAGTTTCTCGCCTACCTGACAATTTAACGTACCTTTTGGATGTCTGAGTTCAGGGCTTCGTGCTCAAATTGCGACGGAGAGGAAGGATCGTTCGTCGTTTCTGCAAACATCTGCCGTTCGCCATTTGGTTGGTTCCGTTACCAGGACTGAAGGCCTCCGATTTGCTGTGGTAAGTTTCTCCTTTCATTCTGTGTAATTTTAATTCCTTTTATTAATCTTATTTATATTGATTGAAATCGTGTGGATCTGTTTCTGAATTCTGGTTTGCCTCAGTTAAATGGGGCATTTGAGTTTTTCGAATTGGTCGGTTGTGTTCGTTGTTTAGAATTGATATATTTTTCGGAAATTTATTTGGAACAAGATTAAGAGATGGAGGGTATAATTCAATAAGTTCGTTTTTGTTTTAACAGTTAATTATAAAGATCAATGTGCTGTGGTTTTTGATGGTTTTTTCTCATGGGTTAATTATGTTTAGTACGAGAATTTACTGGGATTTTATGATGTGAAGGTTGTGGCACGATTCAATGAGATCGTAACGAAGCAGCTCTTGGAGGGAGCTTTAGACACCTTCAAGAAGTATTCGGTCAAAGAAGAAGACATTGATGTGAGTAACTTCCTGATGTAACTTTCTAACAGTAGTATCATAGATTCATATTTATGAAGTTTGTACATGTGAGTTCCTCTGGTAAGTATGAGGTTAATCTAGCTTTCATCATCATAAGAACCCATCAACGTAATCTAATGCTGAAACTTAATTCTTATGATGGTAAGATTATTCTCTTTGTTCTCTTATCAGGTTGTCTGGGTTCCTGGTAGTTTTGAAATTGGTATTGTTGCAGAAAAGCTAGGGAAGTCTGGAAAGTATCATGCAATTCTATGTATTGGGGCTGTGGTACAATTTCTCACCCTATTACTAGTAAAGTATTGTCATAAGGGATCCTTTGTATTCTACTGGTAACCATATACTTGCTGGTCTGCCCTAATATTTGGCCCTTTTTGTTGTTAATAGATAAGAGGCGACACATCTCACTATGATGCTGTCGTTAATTCTGCAACATCTGGGGTGCTTTCAGCTGGTTTGAATTCAGGTTGTTATTTGATAGAACATTATTCTTTTTACTGATTTCATTCTCTGTAATTACATGGATATCATAGATTTGAGATTCAATTACACCCTGAATTCATTCAACACCCTATATCTAAACTGGTGGCCTAGTTTGTGCAACTATTTCTATATGTACTTTGCATCAATCTCCTGCCATTTTAATGAGGAGACTGCTGTTCTATGGCAACTATTACAAAGATCTTTTGTTGCACGATTCTGTTACTAAGACCATCATCTTTGCCATTGGTTTGATTTCTTTTATGTTTAAATTTATTTCTCTCATTTGAATCTATAACTTATTAACCATGTAGGTGTTCCTTGCATATTTGGTGTTTTGACGTGTGACGACATGGATCAGGTAAAGTTACAATCCAAGTGTTGGCATTGCATATAATATAAAACCATTATGCATGAAGTAACTCTGAGATCTATTGGTATAAAGTTTGTTGTTGACAAAGAGCAGAACCATAATATGTAGGAGTCACTTGATAATTATATATATAAAGTTTCTTTCATAACCATGCAAGGGCTTGACCTGCATTTGAGAGAATGAGAGGGAATCCACAGTATGCCTTAAGCAAAATGATTTTGAGAGGGGGTTGCAGGGGTTATTGGTCATACTTGAATGCAGTTGCTTTATGCATTGCATGCAGCATACTAATAGTGGAACGTCATAAGTGATTGTTTTCCTTCACCTGACAATTGTAGGCATTAAATAGAGCTGGTGGTAAATCTGGAAACAAGGGAGCTGAGGGTGCTTTGACAACTGTAAGTTGATATAAGCTATGTTTTAATTTTAACCATTTAGCCATTTTTTATTCCCTCTCTACTTGTTTGAGAAATACTCTTGGCTGCTTCTGTTATTGGTTGTGCATTGCTTATGATGTGGTGTTTTCGTGCATGCAGAACATATTTAGAAATTGGCAGAAAATCTGCATGTTTTCCTTCTTTAAAAGAATTAATAGAAGGGATTCTACTATTTTGATAGACTTGCAAGCAAAATATGCTTGCTTGGTTAGTTAAAAACAATAACTTATAGGTAAAAGCATCCAGTTTCAAAGAATAGTCTGTTATAAATATGCCTTTTTCCATGCTTTTCAAGGGAATGCATTTTCTATATGGTTGCCATTCTTTACTCCTTTCTCATCTTTTCATTTTTTGGGGTGTAATTCCTTTGGTAAATTGAACAAGTCTTTTCAGAATAAAATATTCTACCATTCATAAAGGAAATTTTAGGGGTTTGTAGAAAATACTAGAGGTGAATCTGCAGCTTCTTA